TGTTCATAAATACAAAAAAAAAGGCTTTTACGATTTACAGAAAATTAAAATTTACTCACAGTTATACCAATTGTACCAGTTGTCCCACATATCTCTTTAAGTTATCCCAATTGTACCAGTTGTCCCATTTCATTCAGTTTTCCCAATTGTACCAGTTGTCCCACATATCTCATTCAGTTATCCCAATTGTACCAGTTGTCCAATTTCATTCAGTTATCCCAATTGTACCAGTTGTCCCCTTTCATTTAGTTATCCCAATTATACCACTTCTCCTAATTCATTAAGTTATCCCTATTGTACCAGTTGTCCCATTTCATTCAGTTACCAATTGTACCAGTTGTCCCGTTTCCCACAGATTCACTATTTGTACGATTCAGCTCGATTCTGATCGATTCTACCGCACCACGTCAGTTGTCCCGTTTCCCACAGATTCACTATTTGTACGATTCAGCTCGATTCTGATCGATTCTACCGCACCACGTTACATTTTAACACAGAGAAAACTAAATCAACCTATATAAGTAACTAAATTATCCAATGTGCAACCTAAACAAACTGAAATTGACAAATCGATTGAAAAATTGAAAAATCCCCAAAATACAGAATATGTTCACCTTAAAGCGAAATGGCGGAGGAGAAATGAGTTACGGAGAATAACCCGACTTCAGAGGACGCCGGCGCACCGCTACGAACGAAAATACGCAACAGTTTACAAGATTCGAGCAGATCGATCGATATATGGGTTTAAGGTGTTCGTTTGAGCTTTTAGGGTTTACATACGCGGGATGAAAATTTTGATTTCCCTAATTTTCGGTTTAATATACCCAGAAATTCTGATAATACCCGAAATTGATTTGTTGGTTTGGTATTTCGATTTCAATTTTCAATTTTCAATTAACTCGATTTTTTTTAAAAAACACCAAAAATCATCACAATTCAAGAATGCCATCATCTCCCTTTATTAAGGGTAAAATGGGCATATCACACCTATTATGGCACGCAGACTCATTTGTGGCACAAGAGATTTTTTTTTCTAATTTATGGCTTCTCAGCCATTAATTCGCGACATCGAGCGCTCGGCTGAAAAGCCATAAATCCTTACAAAACAGGCTAAAATGCCATCACTCTAATAATTAATTTCTTTTCGATTTTTTTTTAATAAGGTTAACCCTGGAAATTCTTCATTTCTCCTTATATGTCAAGTTATTAACAAAAAAACCAGGGTAATATCCACCCGAATTCAACCCACCCGATAACCCATTTTATTTTTCATTTATTAATTACCTAAATTCTTTTTCTCTTCTCCAGCAATTTCTTTTAATTCTTTTAATTCTTTTAATTAATTTTCTTTAATTCTCCTTATATTTCTTTTTTTCTTATTCTCCTTCGTCGTTAAAACATCGACAGATTTTGAAAACCACCAAAATCTCAACTTCATCATCCAACCCTTGCTTACTCATCCTCTGCAATCAGTTTCTATCTTTATCTCCTCTCCCCATCCATTGTTGATGATTCAAAACCCAGTTAGGTTTTCGTTTAGAGATTTGGGGATTTTACAATTTAGGGATTGAATTTCTCAAAATTGCTTGTTTGATATGTAAATCGGGTTGGTAACCCAGTTTATGATGATTAGATCTTTGCATAGATAATTTATCAAATATAGTTGTTGAATCGTAGTGATTCTTAGGTAGAAAATCCGAGTTCATCACCAAATCTGCAGAAGAGGACAACTGGTACGAATGGTACAACTAAGAGATAAGAGGACAACTAGTACAACTGGTACAACTATGAGATAGAGGACAACTGGTACATATATGTATAACTAAGACAACTTAAATAATTGCTGATTGAAAATTCATTTATTATAATTGTAAATCGGGTTGGTAATCCAGTTTTATATGACATAGGTATTTGCATGAATAATTTTTTAAATATAGTCGTTGAATCGTAGTGATTCTTAGGTATACATGAGTTCATCACCAAATCTGCAGAGGACAACTGGTACGAAAGGTACAACTAAGAGATAAGAGAACAACTAATACAACTGGTACAACTAGAACAACTACGAGATAGAAGACAACTAGTACAAATGGATATACCTAAGACAATTTGAATAATTGTTAATTGAAAAAAAAAATTATTATATTTTCAAGAGATAATGAGCATCAACCACACAAGTAATTCAATAGATTTTATATCATTTAATACCTCATATTTGGAGCTGATAACTTATTTGGTATTAGTAGATAAGATATTGTATGTAAGAATATTGCGATATATGAAACTAAACAACTTTGGAGTAGATAATTTATGTGAAGAATGAATTTCACATATAAATGAAACTAAGTGGAGTATTTCTGATAATATACAAAAATTGTTTGTCTTACTGCCGAATTAGACAAAAAAAAAAGTGGTTTCTATTCTCCAAAAAAATCGCCGAAAGACGAAAAACGGATAATAAATTAGATAAATGGTCTCAGAGCAAAAGTAGCATGGAGACTTAATTTGTGTATATTTTCGGGTTTATTTTTATCCGAAAATATTTTATTTTAGCTAAACAAATTACATTTAAGCAGAAAATTTTTCATTTTGGATAGCCACATTATTCATTTTAGCAGAGAAAATCTTTCCAAAATAGGGATAAACAAGGTACAGTTAGACACATATATACAATTATATATAACTCCTTAATTTTAAAAAAAGGTACAGCTGAATGAAGGATTCAACTTATTTCAGCCTTAGAGTGTACATGTGTATTTTGGAGTTATTTGTATTTTAGATTTCTTTGATTTCTTGCATTATTATTTATTTTAGAGTTATTTGTATTTTGTATTTTTTTGGATTTCTTTGATTTATTGTATTACTATTTATTTTGGAGTTATTTGTATTTTGAATTTCTTGGATTTCTTTGATTTCTTGCATTACTATTTTCAATTTCTCCAGGGCAACTAGATGAAACTCGGTGCAATTACTAATGAATTTCTCCAAGGCAATTAGGTGCAACTAGGTACAATTACGCTATGAATTTCTCCAGGACAACTAGGTGCAACTTGGGACAACTATATTTTAATTGTAGTGTTAAGAAAATTTCTAAAATTATTTACTTAAAAACCAATACAACCCATACCCTAAAAACTGTATCTTTTCACGTCTATATTAGAAGGAAGAAAATAAAACTTTGTTTTGTTCAAAGAACCAAATATTATTGGTTTCACTTGAAATAACCCTTATGTTATAAGGAAGTCTTTGATAATGTTATCCATCTTATGCAAGCATCTATGCCAAAATATAGGAAATAGAAAAATAATGACGCAAAACCCTTGGGGCTGCTATATAATGTTCGAAATTTTTGTGGACAACTAGAACATAATAATTTACGTCGAAGGACAACTGAAAAACTACAAAATCGATCAAAGGACAACTACTACAAATTTTGGACAACTGGACAACTAGATACAACTATGTTGTCAGTCGTAGACGCACGTGCGCCGACAAAAAGAGACATGTGTGCAGTCAAAGTACCACGTGCGCCGTCAATTTTATACATAGTTGTACTCAGTTGTCCAGTTGTCCAAAATTCTTCATAGTTGTCCTTTGACAATTTTAGTATTTTTCCAGTTGTCCCTTGATATAAATTATTGTTTTGTAGTTGTCCACATGATTTTTGACTATTGTAGTCCATTTACAACATTTTCATAAACAATTTATGCAAAATCATAATTTTGGCTCTTTTCCATCATAAGATTATTAACATTATCAAAGTCTTCTTTGTATCATAAGGGGTGTTGGATGTGAAACCAATAATATGTATTAGAAAAATGATAAATTTCATGTTATCCATCTTTTTAATTTTATTCCTTATAGTTTACAAATTTTTTATATTTTTTAAGTGAATGTTTGCTTTCTATATTTATAGTTTATCACTATTATTTTCTAATGAAAGAATTGCATATAGTTGTACATATGTGTCCAATTGTACCTTGTTTATTTCCATCCAGAAAGTATTCTCCGCCAAAAATGAAATCTTCTAGATTAGATTGACTTACCTAAGTGTCACTATCCATCAAAATAACATTTGCATTTATGTGTGCCGTCAATTTTTGTACATAGTTGTACCTAATTGTACTAGTTGTCCTCCTCTGCAGATTTGGAGATGAACTCATATATAATTATACTTTACCTAAGAATCACTACGATTCAACGATTATATTTAAGAAATTATTCATGCAAAATCGTCATATAAAACTAGGTTACCAACCCGATTTTCAATTATAATAAAAGAATTTTCAATCAGCAATTATTTAAGTTGTCTTAGTTATACCTATTTGTACCTGTTCTCCTCTATCTCATAGTTGTACCAATTGTACTAGTTATTCTCTTATCTCTTAGTTGTACCATTCGTACCAGTTGTCCTCTTCTGCAGATTTGGTGATGCTCGGATTTTATACCTAAGAATCACTACGATTCAACAACTATATTTGATAAATTATCTATGCAAAGACCTAATCATCACATAAACTAGGTTACCAACCTGATTTACATACCAAACAAGCAATTTGAGAAATTCAATCCCTAAATTGTAAAATCCCCAAATCTCCAAACAAAAACTTAAATGGGTTTGAAACTTCAACAATGGTGGTGGAGAGAGATAAAAACAATAAAGTGATTACAGAGAATGAAGAAGAGGAGGAGAGGCGAGGGTTTGACGGCGAGAATTAGATTTAGTGGTTTTCAGAATCCATTAACGAAACGTTGACGAAGAAGAAGAAACAGAAAAAAAAATTAAAAAAATTATTTTTTAAATTAATTTCGTTTTGATTATTAATTTCAATTTAAATAAAAAATTAATCACTTTTTTATTAAATTCAAAAATGCCACAAAACATTTTATTAAAAGTAAAATAAAAATTATATATGTATTATGGCACACAGATTTGTTTATAGCACAGCAAATTAACTTTTTTCAATTTATGGCATTGTAGCCATTAAACCTTCGACATCTCAAACGACAACATAAAATATATTATATTTTAATGATTTAACAATCCAAAATTTTCAAGAACCTTAAACCTTACGAAGTCACCACCCACTCAACATTTCACCAATAGGTAAAAACTATCAAAATTTAGAAAGAGAAATTAAAAAAAAACTCAAAATTTTTCATAAAAAATGTGACTTTGGCTCATTATCTAGTTTCTTTTTGGAGGATGAACACCGCCGCAGTTATGTCCCTTATGCCCTCCTGCATCAAATTAGTTACAAAAACACCAAACATTAATCCAAAATGTTTATATTCAAAGTTATGATTTAACTTTCAAATTGAGATTAAGTTCAGTTACCTGATGGCTTTTGGGCAACTTTGGCTTTCTTTGATGCATTTGTGTTGTTCATTGCTCCACCATTTGGCCTCTTCTTGCTCGGAGGCTCCACCTGTTAAAATCAAAAAGCAATGTTAATTTAGAAACTAATTGTTCGTTTGCTCCTCAAGTGCAAAGAGCCAATTCTTTAGGCAAAATACCTTTAAAGGTGCTTCTTCTTCATTTTCTTCATCATCTGAGTCATCATCCGAACCCATCTAAACCAAATAAACAGAAGAAAACATGTGTTACATTTCAGAAACTAGCATCAAGATCATTGCTACTTACTCATTGCTACTCTTACACAAGTTTTTATTAAGTAGAATGGCAAAATCTATACCTCATCGGAGTCGGATTCATTTTCTTCGTCAGAGTCAGATTCATCAGCTTCAAGGTTAGCCTTTTGACCATTCACACCATTGGCGTTTGATTTCTCCAATTCTAAATTTACAATTTCAAAAGTTAGGATTCTTAACAAAGCCAACACAAGTAAAACACATGAAGACAGTGGCTTAGTAAAGTAAACATACCACTTTGAAACATATCCATGGGAATTTCCTCTTCATCTGAATCAATATCTGCAAAAAGTTGAACACATGCAAAAAATATTAACTTCCAGTTTCAGAACAGATAAAAATCATCATAGTATGACCTTAGGTTTCGAAACTCACCAGAACCAAGCTGCTCATCATTAGGATCAAGGGTCTTGTAACCAAGAACAAAGACACTGCTGCTTTTGCACTCGTGAGAGAGCTCAAAATATCGTTCGAAAATGAGATCGAGAGAAGCTTGAGGAATCTTCTGCGAGAGGTTTCCGATGATTAGCTTTTGCTTACTATCACCAACCTTCACATAGAGGGAAACAATCTCATCTTTCACCTTCTTCGAATCACCAAGTGTAACCTGAGATGGCACAAGCAACAAGAATCAATACAATGTTTAGGCCAATTACAAAGAAAAAAAAAACACACATAAATATTGTTGATAGTACAGACCTGAGAGACATGGATCAAATACCCCTCTTCTAGTTCGACCTTGATGGGACTCCCTGGCTTAATTTCAATACCTACAATTCAACATTTAGCACAAGATTATTAAATCGAAAAAGAGATTTAAAAAAAAACCTAAACAGCAGGAAGCAATTTTTCATCACAAGACCAAGCTTATTGAGTAACACCCAAGATTATTCAAACAAAAGCTGGAAAAATAGATTTTTTCAAAAACCTAAACAACAAGAAACAATTTTTCAACTTAAGACAATGCTTATTGCGTAGCACACAAAATTCTTCAAACAAAGATTAAAAAAAAAAACCTCAACAACAAGAAGCAATTTTTCAACACAAGACGATGCTTATTGAGTAACGGATAAGCCCAAGATTCTACAAACAAAAGCTAGAAAATAGAGATTGTTCTGAAACCTAAACACCAAGAAGCAATTTTTAATACAAGACAATGCTTATTGAGTAACAGAGAGGGTTCAATACAGAACATAAGAGCTCGTATAAAGACCAGAAACTGGAGAAGAACAAAAGGGTTATCAAGCGATATACATGGTAATCAATAGAAGTTATAAAAGGGATAGTTTTCAGAGAGGCATACCCCAAAACTCCATAGCTAGCGAAGGAGGAAGATTCGGAGGTCTGTGTGTGGCTGCTTGAAGATAATTAGGGTTTAAGAGTTGTTTGAAAAAATTAGAACGAAGCGGCTAATTTATAAGGATGCTCTTTACCGTCATATATTCTTTTTCGCAGGTAGGGTTTTGACTTTTTGACCAAAGTTTTCCAAAAAACAAAAAAAAAACTTTTTTTTATTATTTCTTGTGGTTCGGCAAGTTAATGGGCTTTTTATTAATATTGGGCTTATTCGGGATTGCCTTGGTTTATAGGGTTTAGATGTATTTAGGCTAATTGTGTGACACAAACGAAAACCAAATCGAGAAGAGTTGAGCTGATGACAAAACTTAAGTTAACAGCATAAATTAATATGCCACTCAAATTGTTGCTATAGGGGATATCAGAACATGTTTTACATTTTAAAAATTAGCATCAAAATCACTTTAAAATGTAACGCTTTAATAGTATAGATATTTGATTCGACCAACAAAAAAGATAGTATAGATATTTGACATATAACATGGTAATTAGGATAGTACCCGTGCTGTGCACGGATTATTGTTATCATTTAGTCCAATATCATAAAGTAGTATAATGACTTAAATAGTATTTAGTAGTTGATGTATTTGAGCATTTTATAGTATTGATATGAATTTTTATTTTTAGTGTATTTTTATTTGAGTTATAAAATTAAATGTGAGATCAAAATAATATAGGAGGATCCATCCCAATCGTCGACTACATTCAAAGGCACCGATCTTGGCTTGAATCTCAATATTATTCCCACACGAATGGGTTCTCTTTCTGTTTCTTCCACTCGAGTTGACGTAGTTGGTGTCTCTAGCTTTGATCAAACTCAATCTGCATTAGAAAAATGTGTGAAATCTTTTTCTACATTGCTTAAGTGCACGCAAATGGCTTTATAGAAGATAGAGGCAAACAAACTAATCATAAAAAAATTCAATATTTCCTTAAAAATATAGATTATATAATTCCAAATAAAGAAAAACAATAAAATTATAGTCAACAACCAACATAGAACTTAAGACCAAACAACGTTTCTTTCTTTTCTCTTTTGTGTACATTGATAAATGTCTGGTTAATTTATACTGCAAAGAAGTGTAAATTAGAGTGTTTCCTTCTCTATTTAACTTCTTGCTCCAACAACGTAAACTTCTTCCATATCTCATCTAAATCACTAAACTCAAAACCTTTAGATCACAATTCTTAAACTTAATGGTTAAACAAAAACTTCTAAAAGATAATTAACAAACCAAGCAATATTTAAAGGTAAACATGTATATCATATTAAGGTTAAGCTTAAGTCCTAAGAAAATGATATGATTGATTTCATTTTGTCGAGGAACATGTAGATGCGTAAAGACATATTCCTCATCTAGTCATTTCTGTTTTAATATATAGTGATTCGTCAACATAAATTCAAATTTCTGAATGTCATTTTTACCATACTGTTTTTCCTTTATTAAATTTCAATATTCCGTTATTAGACTAAAATATTTATTTTAGTTCGAATATATAATAGATAAAAAATACATTATTGTAAAGTCATATTCTCTACAACATTTTCCTAAAAATATATTAACAGCATAAAATTAAAGTTTATATGAAACACTTCTCTAATAGAGTGAGAAACTTCTAGCTGAGAATAATTGTATAAGTCATATATCATCAAAAACTTTTGAATCAAGTGCAACCTAATGAGTTAAAGTCTTACCGGTAGGGTGAGTATTCATTGGATACATAAAAATTAACTCAACTATTATCATCTGTATACTGGTTATACAAAAAATTAACCTCGAATTTCTCTTATCAATTTTTCATTTGTAATTTCATATTTAAAATGTTCTTTTGTCGCCATCTTTATCATTTTTCTGTGTGAAACTTTGAAAAACATTCTTTTATTTTAAAAGTAAAACATTAAAGATCTTTAGTTTACTTTGAAATTTTAAAGTTCTAATATATCTAATCAAAAGTTATACACTTTTAAAAGTCTAAAAAAATACATAAATTTTGTACAATCTAACTTTGCATTTTTGTGCATGAGATGTTTTTATTTTATAAAAGCCAACTAAATTAGACCTTTCAGAAAAATGAAAAAGAATGTTTTATAAAAAGAAATGAAAAATCAAAACTCCATTAATAGAGAGAGACCAATCTTCAATATTCCAGCTCAATCCACCAATAACTATAAAAACATTTAAATAGTAAAATAAAACCTTAAAGCAAGTGAAGAAAATGAAACAAAGTCAGATGGTTTTATTTCTTAAATTTTGCAATAACAATTGTTTTGCATTTATAGGACAATACAATCAAGAAGGGAATTAATAAATGTCCTACTTGCAGAAGCATCAATATTGCTCAATAATAATTCGTTAGTTGCTTCATGTGAGATGCTCAAATTTTGTTGGAGGAGAGAACTGACATGACTGAATCTTCGATGGGCTTGGAGTTGCACATTTCCAATTTGACTTCTTTTTCAGTTGGGTTTCATAAATAGCTTTGACTTAATAGTAAAGTTCATCTCTAGCAATGACATTAGAATATTCCAAAACAAAATACAAAAAAAATTGATCATAACGTTTAGATAAAACATATGGAATAAGAAGAAAAATATCAATTACCTGTAAAACTTTACCACATGTAAGACTACAATAACAAACATTAATAATCGATAAATTTAGAATTAGAAGACAAAACAATTTGCATTTTAGCAAAAAATAGTTTGTTTTTGTCTGTTTTAGAGAAATTCAAACATCACATTATCAAAATAGTTTAGAAATGTACAAAAATGATCTCTAAAACACATAATGCTTACAAATTCAGTGTAATGGAAGATTTGACTTACATAAGGCATAAATTATAATTGGACTTACTCCTGTCCGATATACAAATTCAATCATTTTTAACTCCACTTTAGAGAATATAAATATAGAAGAATAAACTATGAGCTACTGAGATATCAAAACATTATTTTTACAGTAAAATAATTAAAGAGAATAATCCTATGAGCAAATCAAAGGAAGTTAATTAAGAATTCCACAAAACTCAAAACATTATAAATGTTGAAAAATTTTTTCTCTTTTGAACAAATGTATAATGTGAAGACATATGTCACATATGGTTTTCTTTCTCGTTGCACTAACATTATATTCGACATCTGTGTAAAAACACACTGATTCTAGAAGAAAAATAACTGAAAAACAAAAATATCAAATGGATTAAAATTTTTAAACACGCAAAAAAAGAAGGTAAAATAGAAACGATGAGAATGAAAAAACCAATAAACTACTTATATAGGCTTATAATATAGAGGCTTAGATTTAATAAATAAATATAAATTCAAATCAAATAAATGGAAAACATAATATTATAAATGAAGATAGATAAATACAAAATATTGAATGTAGTTATTATTTACCAAAACCATAGCACAAAAATATTAACTAAAACTAAAATCATGAATATTTTCCTATTTTTTGAGTTATAATAATACCTGGTTGATTGTTTTAGATAGAAATTCAAAAAAAAAATGATTGAGATGTAAACAACCATATTTGGTAATAACTAAACATGTTAAGATAGATTAAGGTAATTTCGATTAATTTAGTTTGCAATAATATATTTATTCGAATAATTTTTTATCATAATAAACATATACTCTGAAATTGCAGAATTCTTCAAAAAATATAATTGGTATTTTAGGTAAGTTTTTTGAAAAGTTTCCATGTTTTCCAGATATACCAATTAATAAAACTTGAATCAAAACTTTAAAGAGTATAGACCCTGCATACTAACTACGATGGTATAATTGTTTTTATTCAAATTTGTATGTACTTTAAAATATACTATTAATCATGAAAAGTTACCAGTGTTCCTTCCACTTTTTTTTTCTGGTGTATCAATAAAAAAGGGTGTCACCAATGAATATCTTCGTGGTGGTGAGGCAACCACATCTCATATAGTTGTAATCTGTTGACATATCAAAAAAAAAAATCTTACTCATGATTTGTTTGTTTATGAAGCAACAAAATTATTCATATTATTTAAGATTATAGTTAGATAAATCGAACAAAAATATTAACATTTTCATGATAGAGATGGTGAAAAAGCAGGATCTAATACACCTGGCTTCCATCTAATGATTAAATCATGTTAAAGTCACAAAAATAGGGAAGAAATAATTTAACCTATAAAAGAAAGTTTTGTCATAAAACTTGAAAAAAAACTTACATATTCATGGAATAATACATATCAAGACTCTATTGTCTCGTATGCTGAGTATATCAATACTGAGTCGTCAATCATACCTACATAGAATCAAATAAAAAATATAAGTAATTATACAAAATAAAGAAAATATGTAGAGAGAAAAGAATGATGAGAATGACACCGGTAAAATGTAAATTTATAGAGAAGAAAGCGTACATGAGAAGGTGTTCAATTTAAAAAAATAAAATCAAAATATTTATTGATTAATATTGTTCAAATTTATTGTTCAAATATTTCAAAATTAATTAGCAGTGAGATTGATGGCTACATATAAGGAAACAAAGTAATTTTAGAATATATTATTCTTCGCTATAAATAGTTTTTTGAACAAAATCTCATTCATTTTTGAAAGAAGTAATCATAACTAACCAAAACTGAATAAATTTTGATCTTTTTTCTATATAATCTCGAGTAATTTAAAGCTAAAACTTAGGAAATAATATAATATTTAGATAATTGATACCAGAAATAATATTTGGAAACAAATAATTAAAAATAAAATATTGTATCCCTCAGTTATAGCAAATCGCCATTTTTGATAAGATTCTTGATTTATGAACTTATTAACTTAATTAAAAATAGATGATCCCTCCATTATAGCAAACAAATCGCCATTATAGTTTTTTGTTAAATAATGTTGTTGTTAAATGTACTCAATTTTCTATTTCTCTTTCTAATAAATCAAAATTAATAGATATGTTAGATTAATAATTACTTTATTTTAGAGTTTTGTACTTTTGTTTATCTAAGAAACTAATTCAAATTCAAATAATAATGGAATAAAAATAAATAAATTCAAATACTAAAAAAATAATTACTGGAATGACGTTTTTTAGAGAAAAAAATAAATGATAGGTTAATATAGGTTTATATTTATTTTTAAATTTAATATAGAGTACGTATCTATCTATAAATGTTTAAATTATGCAAATGGTTCTCCAACAAAAAATTTTTTTATGATTTGAATTTAATTGATTTGGAGGAATATTCTGGTAGATTTTATTATAATTTAAAAAATAAAGAATAAAGAATAAAATATTACACAAATAATTGTACGAATTAGCTAAATAAGGAAAACAAAATGTAGAATATAATAATTTTTTTAATTAGAAAAGGCTGAGAAAAATTGTGGGAGCGATACCTCAGAAAAATAGACTCTAAATTCTAATTGTTTAATGTATAGAGGATTTTGAAAAAAATTAATAAATTAAACATAGTAATCGTTTGTCATATTTTGATTTTTTACATTCGATTGCATTGAAATTTAAATTATTATGTACCTTTTTGTGTTATAAATTAAGTAGATGCGATTAAAATGATGAATTTTAAAATAAAAATAAAAAGAATACAATTGAACTAAATAAAGAAAATGAATAAAGAAAAAGTAATTAAGAATTTAAAATGTAATTGGCCGAATGAACTAAACAAGGAAAAAAAATTAGGTGGAATAGAATGAATTATTTAAATGAAAAAGGCTTAGAAAAATTGTGGGAGCAACACCTCAGCCAAATGGCATCTAAATTCTTCCTGTTTAATGTATAGAAGATTCTTCTGGCAAATTACAATCAATAATCTACTATCATTTGGGTATGTTCATAATTTTGTATGGAACTAAAAATGTATTGTATTATTGTTGTTGTTCAAGTTTACAATATTAAGGTTAATAATGAATCAACAATATAGTCTTATCATATGTTTTGTGTTACGAAGTTGAAGTACTAGCTCTACCCTAAGGAAGACACGTATAATAACAATATGTAACGGCGAATGCTTTTAAATATTTCAGTCGACCTCCATAATTGGTACTAGATTCGATTTGATTATTTTGTAACGGAAATATTTCACATGGCCATACCGGTTAATAATATGGTTCCATACTTGCATGGACCAATATCTTATTAATAATTTGCTCTTGTTATGATAATTTAATTTATCTTTTCAAATGTGCATGCTGTATAGTAAAAGTTTGAAAGTTGAGTTGACCATGTCATTTAGCATAATTGTTTTTTTGGTAGAATGTTTCTTATTTAATACTATTTTTTTTTTCCATTACCCAACTATTATATTATTATTGGCCCGTTACGGAAATGATCCGAAAATCCCTATAACTGACTCGTTATAATTTGGGAAAATATAAAGCCTTTTGCTCGAGCTCTTTTCGCTAGACTATCCACTCAGACATTTGAACTCTTGGGAATATAGGAGAGAATGAAGTTCAAAAAGCTTTCTCGTAATGTCCGGAAGATTTCCAACTCTGAAAGGAAAGATGGCCAGTCTGATGGAGATTCTGCCATGCTTACCAGATCCAAATAGTTGGTCTAAAAATGGACGGATATGATCTGTCTATCTCTCACGCAAGACATTACCCATAGAAGGCTCTCCAATCCGGCATGAAGGGCCGAAAGGCTTCTCCGACAGCCCTGAAGGCCAAAGATCTCTTCACTTATCTCCTTTCTCAGACTCCACCCGAGTCCACTCACCAGGCCGTTCTCTATCCAAGATGCATCGACCTGGCAAATCGGAAACCTCTGGGCATCAGGTAGAGATAACGGAGTTAGAAGAATGGGAGTAGTCTCGTCTATTGCGTCCTCGTCTACTTCCGGTTTGTTTGCACTCCTCCAGCTTTCTGCTTCAATCTTTGCGTGAATTAAGGTATCTACCGGGAAAATTTCTTTTCCGTTAAAGATCTTATCGTTCCTGGCTTTCCAAATATACCATAGGATCCAATGATAAATATCCTTTTATGGATCTGTCATGCCTAGCTCTTTTGTTTTCCAAAAGAGGAAGCTCATATTTTGGTAAATAGAGGTACTCGGGAAGAGGCCCGGAAGAGACGGAAAGTCCGATAACGCCCAGACTTGTAAAGCCGGGGGACATAAAAATAGAAGATGGTTAATAGATTCTTCAGGGTTCTCGCAGCAGGGGCATTGCCTATCCATTCCCAAATGCCTTCGGGTCAGGTTTTGGCAAGTAGCAATGCATCCTGATAAAGCTTGTCACATGAGATGTTTCAGTTTTCAAGGTGTTTGTACTTTTCAAACATAACTTTGAAGGGCTGTGATACTTGGTTTTCCCACTACATCTGTATTTTGTGCAAGCTTTGCTCTTCTAATCAAATCATAACCCGATTTAACCAAATATATCCCTGACTTAGTGTGGTTCCATGCATATCCGTCTAGGGTATGATTCTTAGTAGGTCTCAACCCAAGGATAAGCGAGACATCCTCAGGTTGGAAGCAGACTCTTAGGAGAGGCTCATCCCATTGTTTCGTATCTTGATAGATAAGATGATATACTAGCATTCCTGAATCTTGAAAGCCGATTTAGGGGGGCTGCTCTTAGAGCTCGGACTCTAACATTGGGGATCCAAAGTTCATTCCAAACTCTAGTGTTGAGTCATGACCCGATTGTCTTCCTGAGTCCCAATTTGAGATACGGGCTCATCTAATACTATTTAATTACTACTACTTTACAACTACTAAATAATTTTTTTAGAAAGATAATTAGAAACTAAATACACAAAGAAAGAAAGAAAGACAGAAAGAGAATGGGCATCAACATAAGATAATCAGAGCAACACGGCACTAACACTAAATTGCTTTTGTCCGTCGTCACAAAATGTCTGACTTTTGGGGATAAGGTTGGCGTAAGTCGTTATTACATAGACCGAAAACAAATCCGAAGCAAAACGAGAGTAATAAACAAAAGATAGTATAATATAATATAATGCCTATACATATAATTGGTTAAACTACTCTGAATCCTCTTGGTAAATTTTTATTTATTTAAATACATCTTATAATATAAAATAAACAATATCACTACTATACATTTGTTTATACTACACTCAGGACCTTTGAATTGATACATATTGGTATAAGATTTGATTAAAAATACATCTTATACCACTACTTTTATTTTTTGTCAAGCTTTTTATACCACTACTTTAATGACTTTATTTCTATATAGAAATATATACAACTTAAATGTAATGTTTGACTCACAAAAGAAATTAATCCTTTATGACCCTATCCTTTTCTTTTCTTTTCTTTTCTTGGCCCCTTTCTAACTAAGAAGGTAACACGAAGTTTCCTAAATTCCAATATTTATTTCTAAAAATAGGAAAACTAAAATAAATAAAAGTTTGGAATTCATTTGAAAAAAATGGTAAAAAACTTTATTCTAGAAGCCGATGAATTTAAGCCAGTGAAACCCAGTTTTAGCCACTTTCTCTGCTTCCTTCGAACAACTTTCCGACGAACCACCGCCGACGAATCCTCCGATCTCTTTCCGACCACACAAGAAAAAGTTCCTCGATCCAAGCGAGATTAGCTTCTGATCTCTCCCAATACTTTCGAGACTAAATTGCGAGTAATGGAGATCGAATCGCGACGGTTCAGATTCCGGTAACAAAGGTCGGCGAGCTTCTTTCACGTAAAGACGAATCGCGGCGTCGATTAAATCGTTCACGGTGGATTCCGGCGAAATCACGATCTGCACAGCGCCTAAACTCCCTTGAACCGTCACGTTAAGGAGCAGTTTCGTAAGACGCGGCGGAATCGAAATCGAATCCGCCGTCTTCAACGGTCCGACGACGGTTTGACCGGTGGAGAATAGTTCCGGTAACGTCTTCGGTCTTCGAAGCTCGCCTGAATTCGTCTGAGACATCGTTCCTCTGCCGTGAAACGACATCGATTTCTCCGGTAACGTTCCTCGGCTCCGATTCTTCTCCGTCTCTCCGCCGGCGATTCCTTTCCGATTAACGTTCTTCGAGTTTAGCGGCATGATTTGAATATACAATCAAGTGTTTGTGGTCGATGAAGTCGCCGGAATCGGACGAAGCCAGGAGCGGCGGAGGCTAGCGTAATTGCGGCGGTCACCAGAAGCTATCATAACCAGAGTGGCAAAACTGTAAATAAAGGAGGAAGTCGAGGGCAAAAGTATGAAATGAAGGGAATATTGGTTTGAGAGTTTTGAGGTTGAAGACGCAAGTATTTATAGTGGATTTTATAAGATTACGAAACGGTGAGAAATGACTTGGATGTTTCTGAGAGGAGTGATGGGAACCGGCTATAGCAGGTGAACCACACCTCTGATTATTTGTGTCAGTTCGGTATTGGGTCCAGGTTCAACCGGTGGCTCTGAATTATCTACCGGTCACAGAAACCAAGTTCGACTTTTTTGGTATTTTCTTTGGGTTACTAATTCTCCATTTATCACTTACTAATATGGTTATTTATGTGTATTTAATTAAAGAGTTGTCGCTGTGAATATTTTAGTTGTTTGTAATTAATTTGTGCAGATTTTGTTTTTTGGTGAAATCAAAGTAATAATAATTAGAATAAATCTCATTCCCTTGTGTTGCAAATTTTAATTTTATATTCATGCACATGGTTACTTTAATTTACAGAAAACCCAAAAAGATGTTATCGGTTTCTTGATGGAATCAAGCACGGTTTTTTATAAATCAAAGCAAACATTTTTTATTTATTTAAATTTTATGAATTTAAAGCATGTTAAAAAAAAAAACTAAATACTTTGGTACGATGCATTAGTTGCATTTTTTTTATGTATGTTTGTTTGATTTTTTATGTCTTTTTTAACAGCATTTCTTTTTGTATTTCAAGCCCGTTCTTTAGAGAGAAAAAAAAAGAAAACTATAACATTTAATATACGAGTCACATTTTGAAATCTTATCGGTAGTTCAGATGGTCAACTGTAATGGTAAATTGAATTTGAACACTTTGGTTTGAAACATTATTGATCTACTGTTGCTTTTCCCTTTTTCTGAAACATAGATGTTTTAAAAACATAGAGATTTTAGTTTAAATGAATAAAAAATTGATTTTTAAAAACTATAAGAAAAATCCATTACTAATTACACAAAATATAAACCACCGTATGATAATAACATCAAATATATAATTTGCATAATAACATATATTAACTAACACATATTATGTAACTAACATTATAATCATCTTTCGAACAGTATACCAGTAACCAGATGATAGAATTTGGTATCACCAATTTAGAATTATGTAATAAAAATACATGATCTAATCTGATCCAACTACTAAAAATCCAAACCATTTGAATCGATCCACATCTGTTCTAATTATGAACCAAAAATTTACCCGCTTAACTTTATCTGATCCTAATATAAAAGATAGTTACAATACAGTTGAAACAAATCTTTGTGTCACAAAGGCAGACACTGTCTAACAGGTCTAGATCACCATTTCCTGATTTATCTTCGCTTGAAGATTAGCCGATGCGACTACATATTTTTGTAAGAAAATTAAAATTTTTACAGAAATAAACGTAAAAAAATAATTATGAAATCCTCTTATAATTTTTTTTGTTCCATCCCTAGTCAAAAGCGAGCAAGGTCGGAGATAAAAGTTTGCATAGGTTAGACGAACAAAGCTTGGATACAAGACAAATCCCCCATTATGGCTTTAACCAAGTTGAAGTGTTAATTGGCGAAAAACATATTGGATGTAACAAGCAACATACACGTGGCAAGAACAGAAAGTTAAGATGGGCCCAAACGGCCGACACAACTGAAAGATGCCTGAGACGTGACCAATCTCGCCTTGTGACTTGTGAGATTATGGAGCCTATCATCAATTTCTTCTCCAAGTTGCATTGCGATTAGTCCCTCAATAATTGCACACTAGCGACTTCTTTTTTGGACGATTCTGTTAAACTGACTAATTGATCCAAAGAATGAAGAATACATTAACTATTGCAAGCAAAACAAACTCGGCCTTTTGGCGCAAAAAAGGAAAACAAAAATGGAATCATTTGTACTTATGTGGAGATAAAATTACGTAAGAGCTTCTTAGGATTAAGATTATGACCAACTTTATGTGAGATTTAACGAAAATAACTAATTTTAAACATAAAAAAATAGGAGTGGACCTAATGTTAGTGTGTTTCTGGTATGTATACGAGCTCTTTCAATTTGGTGCTTCACGTGGCCTAATTATATTATATTATCTTATCTTATCCATTTATTTATTTTACAATAAAACTATAGAGAATTGAAAATGGGGACGGACCATTGTTTTCTGTTTCTTTCAATCCTCTCAATAGATATAAAAACTAGGAAGCATATTTGTTTACACATATAAATTTGATAGGTATTAACTAGAGAGAGAAAAGTGAATTAATTTCTCATAAATTCCTGTAAAAGTGTTTGTTAGATATATATACACAACTGGTTAAGTAAAGGGAAGCTTAACCAGAATAAACCAAACTATACATATATGGTTAATAATAATAGGTTTTTTACACTATTCTACAAAAATTGCAATGTTTTTCCTTTACATTGTAAACATTTTATGACAAAAAATATCTATAATTTTCTGTTTTTTTAAGATTAGTGTAGCTTTCCACCCATGATTTTTATACATACATGATATATATATATATATATATATATATAGGCTTGAATTTTGATAGCCTTACACTCAAAATTGTCTTTAAATTATGATGCTCGTTACGATAATGTCATAGATTTTTTGAGAAGAAATATATTTTGATTATCTGTTGGTTTTGTTTGGCTGTTTGTTTTGGATGTTGCCTCCCCCAGATGATAGCAAGTCCAGCTTGATTTCAATTTTTGTTTTTCATAAACCATAAGTTTACATTTAATATTTTAAGCGGAAAAGAAATACATAAATCGATAGATGAAACGCAACATATATAATTTCCCCTAAGACCATCTTTATCCCAATAAAATATTCAGATCCAGAGCCAAAAATGCTGAAGACGTTTTTTAAATAGGGACAGCTAGAGACGTTTCTAATGACAGGTGGAAGTGTGCAATTGGCCGAGATATATTAAAGAAAAATATATATATATTTTCTAAAAATTCTATTCTGGTTTATAGCAATGTTCAGCAATAAAAACGCAGTTTTTACACGGTTTCTAAACACAGTTTTTAAAACAAAACAAATAATAATATATGCTGAAGAGATCTATACGAGCTTTTGGGTTGAAGAAGCTCATAAAACTTTCAAAACAAAAACTTTTAAAAGAAGACAACGAAAATATTACTCTTTTCAAAAAACCTAATTCAAAAAACTGTTGGATTAATTTTGAAGAAAGGCTGAGCAGCAAACTTCCTATATCAATTAGGAATAATTATATTTAAGAGTTATCTAAATATATTTAGGAGATATCTAAAAGAAAAGGAAATTTGTATTTTTAATTAGTTTAGGATTTAGAAAATAATTATCTATATATATGAAGTTACCAAAGTGTGGAAAACTCATGGAATTAAAAGAGAGAGTTTTGAAAGCTTTAGGTTTTGAGTTATTTTCTTAAAGCAATAAAGGTGTTTTCTTAATCTCAAGTGTTAAATTTTATTTAGTATCAGAGCCAAAACGAAGATCATCCAATACAACCATATGGGCGACCTTGTTCCGGTAACTACCAAGTCGAAGGAGAGCAGTCCTTCGTCTATACAGTGTCCAATGCTCAATACCACTAATTATACGGAATGAGCAATACAAATGAAGGTAGCACTCAAGGTGCACAAGGTTATGGAATCGATCGATCCCAGAACAAAAGAGGAAGACAACGCCTTTGGAAAAGACGACATGGCCATAGCTCTTTTGTTCCAATCGATACTCGAAGCATAAACTCTGCAACTCAAAAACCTTGAAACCGCTAAAGCAGTTTGGGACGCAATAAAAACTAGGAATATGGGAGCTGACAGAGTTAAAGAAGCAAGACTTCAAACATTAACAGCTGAGTTTGACAGAATAAAGATGAAAGAAACAAATACCATAGATGACTTTGTCGGGAAACTTTCAGAATTAGCTGCATTGGGAGAAGTCATTGGCGAAACAAATCTTGTTAAAAAGTTCCTCCATTGTCTGCCAAGAAGAAAATACATACACATTATTGCGGCCCTAGAGCAAGTCCTTGACCTTAAAAAAACAACCTTCGAGGATATTGTGGGAAGATTGAAAGCATACGAGGAACGAATCACGGATGAAGAAAAGCAAAAAACCGACCAGGGAAAACTCATGTATGCAAACACATATTCACAAGAACCTCAAGGATTTGGTAGAGGAAGAGGAAGAGGTGGAAGGTTTGGCGGAAGAGGAGGCTGCGGGTATTACGGCAACAACAATAACCAGCAAAACAGCGGGTACAAAGATAAGTAGAAGACCGTATGCTACCAGTGCGAAAAAACAGGATATTACGCGTCTGTTTGTCCTGATCGACTCCTTAAACTTCAAGAAGTGCAAGAGAATGATGACGAGGAGACTCACGAGGCTGAAGAGATGATGATGCACGAGGTGGTGTATCTCAATGATAACACCGGATTTTGACCATTTTTATGGATCACTTTAAAATATTTTACAGGTGTTTTTACTCCATTTTCAAAAATTTTCAAAGGATTTCTATGTTTTCGGATTTCAAAGACTTTTCAAGTAATTTGGGATAAAGAGGCGCAAATTGAAACACAAAGACTCTTTTGGATAAATGCAGACCGTCAGAACTCTCATGGAGATACGAAGACCTTCTCACCGTCTGATCACCCTCAAAATTGGACAACTTATAGAAGACTCAATCAGCTTTCAAATGCACATGGTTTGAAGACATTCCAACGGTTGAATCTCAACATATTTCATTTGCCCTAGAGATATTTGAAGACGGCTAGCAAGCTACGGGACCGCAGCTAACAAGCCATTTAGGCCAGGGCTGTGCGACCGCGACCAAGCACCCATTCACCATGGTTACGCTTCATGCGACCGCAACCATTTCTGAAGCCCAAGTCATTTCCCAGCTTTAATTCCGGAACCCTAGAGACCATGGAGTATTGAAGACTATAAATACTTGTCATTTAGGTCGTTTTTAGCAATCACCTTCATACTTTTACAAAAACATTTTTTTCTTCAGCCGTTTTATGTGATTTTTAGAGAAGATTGTTAAACTCTGAGTTCATCAATAGATAAGATT